TTTGGTCACTCGCCAAAAACTGAGAGAGCTTGGCTGAGAACTGTTGATGCATTCACCATATAGCCCTGACATTGTGCCGTCAGATTACCATTTCTTTCCATCTTTGCAGAATTCATTATATGGTAAAGTTTTCGAAAATGACGAGGCTATAAAATAGCACTTAGTTCAGTTTTTTGCAGATAAAGACCAGAAGTTCTATGAGCGTGGATTAATGATGTTGCCGGAGAGATGGCGAAAGATTATCCAACAAAATATAGAACAAAATAAAAATAACATAATTATTAAAGTTCGTCATAATATTAAAACAACCCAAAAATAAGTAATATTTTAAAATGTAAAAAAATAAAAAAAATAAGTTATTATTATTTTTATTTTGCTAAACTAAAGTAAATTAATCTTGCTTCATCCCACTGTTGATGTTCAGGCAGATGTTCATAAAGCAAACGTGAACGTGAACATGAACGTGGACGTGTGCAATTGAGTTCGTTCCGCATGGATTAATTTGCGAAAAATTATGCAATGACTGATTCTTATACTCTATTTACCTTCTAACTATGACATACTAAATAACTATAAATATACAAACATATGTACATATTAACGCAAGTTACCATACATACTTCGATATAAAAAAAAAAAACAAAAAAACAGTGGTATTGAACTTTTCAAATAGTTGCTCAGCGTTAAGTGGTTACAACCACATGAAACTCAAAATAAATGCTTTTCTTTGGTTTTGTTTTTTTTTAGATGCATTTTATTCAATAAATCAATAAAAAAATGTTAATAGACAAAATTTAATGAGTTTCAATAGTAAACGATTCAATTTAAATATTATTGGATCCTCTTGTTCCTGCAGGTAATCTCCAGAAGGACCTCTAAAAAAAGGTATCTGGCTGCGAGGAAGATATTTCTGCTTCAAATTATTATTATAAAAATTAGTATTATAATTACAGAATAGAGGTAATGGTCGAAGGAATAGTAGAAATTCTGATTTTTCCAAAATCGCGGCTTAGAAAAAAAATTTATCTTGAGAAATTTTACACTTCAAAGTGGCTTAAAAGATCGAAATTACTGTGAAGAATTTTTTTCCTTCGATCATTGCCTAACAAATAGGTCTTAGAAGGTCATGTGAAAATTTTAAGCCGATAATTTAAGTCGTTTCAGAGAAATTTTATTCATCGAATCTGAAAACAGTTTTTTGATGAAAACGCATTTAAAGTCCGAATATATCAAAAATCGCTTACAAAGGCATAGCGGTGACTAGACCACTCAGGCTAGCTAAACCGCCTTGCGCTTCGCTTATTTTCGAACGCAACGAGACGCCCGTAACGGTACGATCATATCTCCGAAACTGTTTGTCGGATCAACCTCAAATCTTCGGAAAATATTCTCAAATGTACATATAATACATACATATGTGAATTTGGAAATTATTAATAAATTTTTTTTAAATTACAACCCCCTTAAGTAAATATATTTCGCAGACTTAACTAAAGTGGAACGACATTTCAGATAAGAGATAAAAAATTGTGTTACACAAAATCAAAGAAATTTATAGCAAAATAATCGCAGTAAAATATAACGAAACGTTACCAAAAAATTAATCATATGACTTTGTGCTCACATTATTTTTGAACTTGCCAAGTCTACGACTACTGAATCAAAGTGAAAAAGCGTTTGGAAAATTTCAAAACGAGATTATCAAATACAAATACTTACATACTTCCCACCGAATATTACGCAAGTGAGAGCTTCCGTTGCGCATTTGGGACATTCTCAAACGTAAATTGCTTGCTAAACTAGCGGCAATTAAAAGAACGCAGAACACGAGTGCAGCCAGTACAGTGCAGAGCCTCAGCCGGCGTGCTGGGTAGTATGCAAAGACAATAATGCCGGCGATCAAGCGTGTAGCAAGAACGTTAAATGAGCAAAGATAAGAAGTGCCAACAGCAAATTGCCACTGCTGCCGGCACTACTCCAACTACTGCTGCTGCTGCTGTTGCTGTTGCTGCTACAGATGAAGGTCGTCGGCAACAACGGAGTTATGTAAAAAATAATAAGAAAACAGACAATTGCCATCAGCCACGCGAAATATGTTGCAAATTTAAACATTTTTTTTTCATAATAAAAAAAAACTTACGTATTTAGTGATATTAACAAGTCAAAGTACCCTGCAGGAAATTAAATATTATTTCTTTGCTTGAATTCTTCTCGCAAACATGAGAATTCGACTGTCCGGTTGCTTGCTGGTCTTCAACTAGTTCAAGTTGCTTACATCTTTGTACTAGTAACTAAAATCATTAACTTTGCTCTTGGGTGACAAACACAATCCTCTAGCGAATTTGGGAAGGCTTGAACTTTTGCAAGTAAGGGCAGATCATTTCCTATAAGGAAACGCTAACTCCCTTAAGAATAGAAAGAATTAAAGGAAAACAAAATTCATTTGTAATGCAAAAATGGTGGTTTGAGAGTTTGTCTTCGCTGTTTTTGAGGCGCTTGTATCCAACCCTAGTTCCTAGCGTTATTGTACTTCAGAACTAACGTCGAGCAGTTAGCTTCTTTACGGATACCTTGGCACTACTTAGGATGGGATATTGTAGCAAGTTAAACTCCTACTTATCCAGACTCGACCTCAGCATATCCAATGTAACCAACCCCTTCACATGCCCCCTTAAGCCGTCTCATCTAACTTACCTCTCCATTTTATCCAATCACGTCGAAATAGCACGTTTCCTATACGTCCCAATAGATGACCTCGGTTACTTAGATTGATCAAACCTATACTTAAGCGGGGTTAGCGAAGCTACAACAAGAAAAACAGATAGGTTCAAGACAAATGGCATGGTCCACGCAGATAGTCAATCGGTTACTACTACATTGGGCTTACTCACTGCTGCCAAGTTCAACCTTGTACCTCGCAATCCACCTATACAGGAGCTTAACCTGGAGACGACACATTTCTGATAAAAAAAACTCTGCGGCTCAAACTCAAATTTGTCAGTATAAATTGGCTTTAAAACAAGATGTCTGGACTTGTATCTTGAAGAACAATAAAGTTCTCCGATATAATGCAAACATAACGATATGGATGGAAGATGGATTAAAGCACAATTCGCGCGACGATTCTAGATTTAATAAAAACATTCCAATAAAAAACGTTAAAAATTAAAAAAAAAACTACTTAAAAAACTGCGTAACAAGACGCCTGCGTGGAAGATACAAACCAGTCATGGGCTTTTTGCTTTAATTTAGTTTAAGATTTTATTGCTTATTTTCGGGCTTTCTTTGTCCTTTGAGCACCGAGTCGCAGTGGAAAAGCAACAAATTACAATGCTGGATTAGCTCGCACATAAAGCCATCACCGCCTTGTTAATGCCGGAAAGGGGGCGGTCTGCTGCTCAGCAAGCGCGAGATCCTTCGGGTAAAAAGTGCGCCGCGGAAGGACAGAGTATCTCGCTATTCTATTAGTGGAAATTCCGACCGGAAGGGTAACTACACGATAAGACCTGCAGTTTTTTTGAATCTCCACTGCCCTAATTGCTAGGAAGATTTATAGACTTGTAGATTCGAACCATGCACAAACGATTTACTAAATGAAAAGCCGCCCAGTGCTCAGGATATTTTTCTCTTGTCTTATGAGTCAGCCACTTGTGCCTAACCTAAAGTCATTTTTATTAAACCAAAGTAAAAAAATTGTGAGTTCAGCCGTTGGCCTTTTGCGAAATCATTTCAAAAATCAAAATAATTCGAAAAAAAAGATAAATTAAAATAATTTAATTAGTCAAAGACAGACTTACTCAGGCAGTCGTCCATCGACAGGGAGTGTTAACCCCTCCAAGTGGCATAAAATAAAAGCTCAAATTAAAGGTAACTGTATTCGGCTTTTTGCGTGCATTTGCTCTTTTGTGATATATGTATGTATAAATGTACGTATGTACGTATTGTGAAAAAGTATTTAAAAATATCTAACCTCACTTTTGTAATTTCATACATAGAGATTTTAAGTAACGTAAATCAAATTTCTTTGAGGTATATTTCTGCAATACATGTATGTATGAATACTCTAGTTAATATCGTAGTAATTATACAAGCATAATATATGTACATACATACATATGTGTGTCTAATTGGAACAAAACAAATGTCTTTCGGCAATGGAAGCGCCTCAGAGCGAAGAAGAACTGTGAGCTGCTGACAAAACACCTAAACATCCATCCATTGGTACAATGAAGACAGTAGGTATGTATATATGTATGTATGTATGTGATTGAATACGTTAAATGCACATTTTAATTTCTGATTTCGTTTGCATTTACGTTTTCTTGCGGTAACGGATGCAAAATATCTCTTAGATACTCGTATCAATTGTCTGAAATGTGCAGATATATGTATATATGTATGTATGTATGAGTTCACGAATGAATAATTGAGCGAATGAACGCTAACACTTAGAGAACGTCTTCAGCAGCAGCAGCAGCAGCGTGCCTTAAGCGACCGCCAATGGATTTTAGCTTTGGGCGCATTTGCTAACATACAAATGTGCATGTAGATGCGTCTGCATATCACACACACACACAAATCGCAATAGAGAAGATACACATTTGATTACAACAACAATAGCTGCAATATTTCTTATTTGCAAAGACAAACGTCAATTCGTACCTTCAGTAAGTAAACAAGTGCAAAAGCATATGCATATGTACGTATATATGTATGTACATACGTAAGCCTGTATGTAGTAATGGCAAAAATCTACGTAAGACAGCTGCCGCATCAGCAGCAGCGACAATAATCTGGCAGCAGCGGTAATTGTTGGGGGCCAATTATTGTGGCACTAACAGTTTGACTGCTGCTGCTGCTGTTGTTATTGTTGCAGTTGATATTGCATATTACCATTGTTACTAATGCAATGTCTGAGGTTTTACTTACAACAGAAATACGCTTTTCAGCTTATAAAAAGGTAAAATATAAAAGAGTGTGAACTGCAACTTTGTGGCATCAGTTGGTATTCTTATTCAAATTGCAACGCATCGCCACAGAAATTGAAAACAAACAAAAACTCAAAAATAATCGCAGGCGAAATTCGCGCAATTCACACATACATAGAAAACGAGTGCTTCGAATTTAAGGACTTCGACAGGATTAAACGCCGTTAAAAATAACTTCGGTCCAGCAAAATGCTTAAACTGGTAAGTAACAACACAGCGGAGATGGTCAGCGAGTGAAGGCAATTGAAATAATGGAATTGGATTACTCCTTTCTTGGAATAAATGTGTTAAATAACAGTCTTTCAGTCTACAAAAAAATTGCTGAAGTGAAGGTATAATAATTATCTGAAGAGTTTCTTCCATTAATTACACTAATTGAGGAGATCCCTTACATTTTTCATACAAAATTTTCAAAACGAAACTACTATAGATGATAAGTACAGTGACTCGGTAAAATAAAAGTTTTCATACCAATGCAATACTGAAAGTTTAAGATCTATATTTATTTAAGAGACAAAAAGAAATCAAGTTTGATCAACACCAAGTAACAATAGTTCTCCCAGGACCGTTTGAAGCGATTATTACAAGTAAGCAGCTTCTAAAAAACCAGAAGCTTATCGGCTTAGATCATTTTTCAAAAATAGTGAGGTTAAGTTCAAACCTTACATAGATAATTTAAAATTTGAAGTGTTCTGAGAATTCTGGAAAAATTTTAGAAATATATTAGGGTTCTATTTTTTTATATAAAAATTTCTTATCGTGTTTTCAATATAACTGCATTCAGTGTTCCGTGTTTTGTTAAATCTGTAAGGAAATCATGAAAGGAATCAAATTTTTGCATAAAACTATAATTTTTAATTTTGTTTAATATGCCAGATCATTTTGGAAATTTACGGTACTCATAAGTTCACAGAAAATTTCATGAGGAATTTGATAAATAAAAATTTTAAAATTGAGTCAGAATCCTAACATTCAGATTACGCCAATTTGGAAGCAAGAACCCTTGTTTTCTTTGAAGAATTTGTGTGTATCAATAAAGCTTTTCATTTATTCCCTAAAAATATTATTATTATTTAGCAAAGAAATTATGCCTTATGTACTTGTGAAGCGATTCACATAAAGTAAGGATGTGAGAAAGAATTTGTTTCTTAAATGTTAAATAATAAATAGAGATTATAAACTTGCAGTATCGAAGTTTCTTTTAAAAGGCAACATTTCCTGAAGTAATGAGCCCGATACCTTTATGGAACCAATTCACTACTCTTATCGAGCTATGACTCTTCCTAAAAAGCAGCCTTTCCACTAAGATAATCAATTTGTGTGGAAAGAATTCACAAATTTATCTGTGAAAACTAAATCATGTATTCTCATTATACTAAAACGATTTTTCAACAATTTCGAACTCTTTTGCGGATTTTTAATATTTTTATTCTCCGAATATATGGTTTTGCATATTAATTTTTTGGATCTTACTAAACGCAGAAGTTATCGAACAGTAAAATTGAGTCAGTTTTGAAATCATGAATAAATTTCAATAAAGGATCTTCCTTGTTCTGTGAAAACGAAATTTCCTGCATAAACAAAATCAGTCATACTTTCATATTTCTTTACCTCAATGTACCTCCATCAGCCCTACGAATCGACAAAATGGTGAATTGAACGGCTTCCCTAACCCGTTTTCCCCACAGATTCAAAAATTCAGAAATGATAAAAAAAAAACCTTATTTCCCTTAGCTCGTGTTGAGCACAAACAATCCGCTCGGAAAAACTATGACCCGTCTTAATCGCAGAAAAAAAGTCGAGGCTAATGTATTTAGTATATTTTTTTCCGTGGGGCTTTTGAGGCAGCTCGAACTCTTCATCTCCATAGGTGTTGGCTTGGCTCACGACAGCCGATTCTATGCCACGGTATTGACCAGGCTTTTATTCGGCCAAGGACTGTAGCCCTTTTGGCGTCCTAAACTCGTTACGGTCAGCAGGGTAACATAGTAAGGAACTCGCACCAAGTGTTTACCATATGTTCCTGTTTATGTATATGTATATGCGAAATAATGAAAAAATTACAATAACAGTTTTGGACTAGAAGTTATAGCTGCTATTTCGGAAACCACTGCGTTTCCTCATCAGACTTCTTTTTCCAAACACCTTTTGTTCTAATTGGATTTGAACTTGGGACGACCACAGCACTATTTCCAAAAAAATATATGGTCTGAGACAGTTTCATAAAATCTAAAAACCTTAAATTTCTTTGTTGATTTGATCCGAAATGAAAAGCTATAGTTGATGTCAAATCGTTAACTGGTAATGTTAAACGTTAAAATTGATTTTAAAATTAACGTTAACGATTTCATTTCATTTAGTTAATTTTTCATGTTAGAGAAACGAAATGATATCGCTACGTTTGTTGATAATCTCTAACCGAAGCAAAGCTAGATATACCTAAGAAATAGTAAAGTTGGCAACACATAGCACTTTAATTAATTAAACATTGAAACATTCATAATTTAGAATTCCCATCTTTATTTTTCATTTCATTTCATTTCAGTCTTTGATTCTCTCCACCATCGTCGCCTTGGCCAGTGCACGTCCCGGTTACCTCCATGGACATTATCCCCATATTGACTATCCATTGCTGCATCATCATCACGAACCTCTGCATTTGACCAAACTGGTGCATATACCAGCAGCCATTTCACACCAGAGCTCTACGGTCATACATAGTGCGCCCATAATCAAGCCAGTTGTGGTGCCGGTGCTAAAGACCGTCGTGCATCCCATTATAAAGACGTATCATCCAGCGCCCATCATAAAAGCCTACCATCCATATCCGCTAGATCCCTACCATCATCACTACGATCATCATGATTTCCATCATTACCATTAAGCGAAATACCACACATCACACATAATCAATATGACAAAATAGGAGGCTTCTATGAATAGGAAATAGCTTAAACCGGAATGTCGGATGATTGCGCACAAATAATATGTTCGGGGAGTCTAGTAAATACTATATATGAGAATCAAGAAACTTTCTCAGAGCCAGCTTTTTCTTGACTTACACTTTTCTCACTTTATTCAACGGTACAATAACACAATTCCATAACTTTTTAAATCTCTAGAAATAAAAAAAAAATAATAAAAAAATTTGTACGAACTGCACGAACACATACAAAGCGAAGAAGATGTTGTACATTAAAAATAAATAGCTTAATTGTTTAATTGTTTAACAAAAACAATAAAACTTGCATTATTTTCTTTTACAATTCCTCAACATAAACGGCGGTAATAAAGCTTATTTGAGACGAATTAGAAGAACTGTCATGCCGATAAGGTTTTTACTCAGTTTAAACGATATTTATTTAATCATAACTTATAATCTATTATGGTTAAGAAGTCTTAAGCATATTGACCTAGGCAAAGAACTCTCTATGCTTGAGATTTCAAGCAAATCGATCCATAAGTATGAATCTTCCAGATAGAGCGGTGCTGAAAATCAATTCTCTATGCATTGAAATAGACGAAGAGCCATCTTCCATCAGCCATGTTCCATATATAAATGGTGATTTTTTAGCTATTATCTTTTTGGCAACACTGGGTTAAACAGCTGACGCACGTTTCGTCTTTTGTGGCACTGTCAAACATCTTTAGTTCGGTCTATAATTTAACCATGAAGCGTCTTAGAAACGAACAACGATTCCGAATTATTGAATTTTGTTATCAAAATGAATGCTCTGTTGAGAAAGTTCATCGCGCGCTTCGAAGCTCATTTTTGGCTTAAGATTTTGCGGTGAAGATCAGCCAGAAGCATTGCAAGAGCTACCATTGCATCCACAAAAAGTCACAGTTTGATGCCATTTATGGGCTGGTGGCATCATTGAACCGTACTTCTTGATGAGCGTTACCGTAAGTTGATATCAAATTTTTTTGGCACAAACTACAAGAGCTTGACTTGCATGACATGTGGTTTCAACAAGCCGGTGCCACATGCCGCACAGCCCGCGTAACAATGGACTTATTGAGAGGCGAGTTCGGGACCAGCCAATTGACCGCCCAGATCGTGCGATTTAACGTCTTTAGACTATGGGACTATGTTAAATCTGGAGGACAACATTGAAGCATTTATTCTTGAGATACAGGCCGAAATATTTGAAAGAATATGCCAAAATTGGACTGAGGGGATGGACCATTTGAGGTGCAGTCACGGTCAAAATTTGCGTGAAATAAACTTCAAACATTAAATAATATAGACCTTATAGACATTTATTCGATTATATATATACCAAGTACACTTTCAGGAAAGAAATGGTTTTCCAAGCCAATTTAGGCAAAGAGCTACCTACTCGTATGTATTTACCAAAGCGATCACATATGCGCCTTATGCTGCAACTACCCTATTTATGGAAGCAACTAATTTGTTACGAATTTAGTTTTCATTTCTATCGAAGAAAAACTACGCATTATCTTCGATTATTTAATTTTATTTTAAAAAAGACTATACTGACAACCTTGTATAGCAACAAGAAATGAGCCGAGCCGGTTTTACGGAAAAAATCTAATCGCCGCTGGTCTCTATGGGACAACCATCAGTAACGACATGGGCAAGCGGTGACAAGTTTGTGTTTAAATGGCGTTCTCATAAGATAGGTTGCTATGAACAGAAGGTATGTTAGATGGGTAGCTGCATCATTAGTTGTCCGATCTTGACCGTTTATATGTACCAATGCATCTGTGTACCAAGTTTGGTTGAAATATTCCAAAAACTCGCTTGGCTAAATAACTCAGTTCGGTATAGGTTTTAATGGATCTTTCTCTTTCTGATACTTAAATGCTTTTTATCAAAGTTGATATACCATTTCATGTTCATTAAAGGAACATAAAACTCCTCACCAAATTGCTTACAATTGGCCAAATATAATACATTTGTAAGTGCAACATATGTATGTGCACATCTGCATCTTTTGCAATGTGCGAACTTGGCTCTTCTTTCCTATGTAGCAATGTAAAATCAGCTATAAATGGCTCAACTTGACTGATTGCCTTATACAAGCCTTGCACACTCACGAACCGAACGCTGATATTAGAATTCTTACAGGCAGAGAAGGTAGACTAACATTCTAGTTGAGTAACGGTAATAATAATAACTTCCACCACCATTTATTGTAGATATAACTAATATGTCACGGCTGAGTTCCATTCTCTGTTACGCTCTGTTAATGTGTTAGAATTCGAATTAGTTGCATTCTAGTTAATAACTAATAGGTTTCCCTGCAGGGTATGTACAATATATATATTTATTTCGTTGCATTTTGTTATGGTATGCTCCACAGTGACTGGTCATTGAAATACCAATAGCTTGAGAGAGATCATAAAAATTAATTCTTATTACGCAGCTGGTAGTTCTTGTCGAAAAAATTAAGTAAAATAGCTGTTATTAATCTTTAAAGAGAGCACGCAACTCGGGCTTCAACTTAGGCGCGTAACGTATTATACAAGATCTAATCCTCTTTGCTCATCCCCTACTTTCTATAGATTTTTTGATTTTTGCACCAAGACATATCACTCCCATTTCATAGAGGAGCAAGAAAGTTTGACATTTGACTGGTTTGGGTAGGTTGAGATGTGTCTAAAATATTATTTAAATTTAGACATTTGTAACCGGCGACCGACAGGACTTAATTAACATTGATAGGGGTAGGGTGTTGACGGTTCAAAAAAAGTGATTTTTTTTATTGCATATTATGAAAGTATAGTAACTCAAAAATGTTGTCTGCAAATAGGAAGTTTTATCAGGGTCTCTTCGCTACGAAAAACTTTAAACGCGCTTTTCTCAAATCGATGTCTTTTGAGTCGGTGCACTCTGTATCTCAAAATCTATTCAACCGATTGTTCTAAAGTTTTTTACAGTATTTCCTTACATAATTTATGAGGTAACTCTGTCGAGATTTTTTCGTTTTTGATTTTAATTTTTTTATTCTTAACAACAATAGTCAGGAATTTTGGCCAAAAATCGATATTTTCACCTTCAAGTTTTGTAAAAAGTTCAAAAATTAAAAAAAAAAAATGGAAAAAATTGACAGGGATACCTAGAGGGACATAAAAATTGATGGAAAAACTTTGATAATTTCATTTCAGATGATCCAGTGCTGAGATATGACGTGCACCGCAAAATGTATTTTTTCTGAGGCGCCTGCGAAGAATTGCTGCCATTCGGTCAATTTTCAATATTTTTCAACCAATATTTGAATATAGTTCAATTACTACTCTTTAATATACAATAATAAGAAATAAATTTACTTTCACCTCACGCCCAAAAAAATCTGAAAAACCTGTTTTTTTCTGCCTTCAAACCCCTTTTAATGGCTGAACATCGAGCAGGTTCGAGAGTTCGCACAGAACTTTGAAGCGCGTTTTCTCGAGTTTTTTATTTTTACAAGTCTTAGAATAGGTGGTAGTGATAGCAAAAATAATATATGACAGTATTAAAATATCTTCTATTCGAAATAAAAAAGTTGGACAAAAGTTCCATCTGAACTTTTTTTTCAAACTTAGAAAAAAATTAGAACTTTCAAATTTCTTTAGTATAGTTTTAGCTCATTTATTGTAGGATATATATATATATATATAATTGGCGCTTTGAAACCGCTAAAGCGATTTTTCGGCAGGGCTCCTCCTCCAATTTGTGGTTTTGCATCTTGTTGTTTCTTCCAACAAATGGAGAGACCTAGAGTTTATACCAAGCCTCATCCGAACGGCTGATGGTTCTTATGAGGAGACTTTATTTCATGTCCGAAATACACTAAAAAAAAAACTGCTGGAAAACGCGTTTTTTAAGTTCTAAAGGAGACTAGTTTATGAGGGGGGCTTGACTTTCCTTGTCGAGAGGCGACCGCAAATTAGAAAATTTAATTTTAATTAATATTTTAAACAGTCCACTATAAAAAAAGAGTACAGACGAGTATAATTATAGAAATAAATAGTTCGATTTTAAAACGACAATTAATTGAATGAATTTGAGAATCTTTTTAATACGGAAAAATTTGCCAAAACGCAACCAAATGCAGCTGTCCATATTTTCAAAGCAAACTAGTTTTGATTCAATAGCAAACCTGTTTGAATGTCCTGCAACAAAATATGTCAAAGGAATTTCTCTCTAGAGTTTTGCCTGTCAAAATTAAAAAAAAAAAAAGATTATCAACTGAAATATTACAGAAATTTTCCTGCTCTACAAAAAGTTCTCGTAAATTATAAAATTACCAATTATTCTACCAAGAATCTACACAGTTGTGCTCCACTAACCCGGATTGAATATCAACTAAGCTGCTGCTAACGAGAGACTTGACAATTTATATTTTTATGTAAAAACGACAAATTGTATTTGCAATAACTGCTTTGAATTGCATAAGAAATTTAAAGTGTATACATACATATATGTACATATACACATGTATACTGACTAGTACTCGTTTGAGTATATGAAGTGCATAAATAGACACATGTCATATGTCTTGTTAGTGCAAATTTACGTAATGACGTCATTATGATATATGCATGTCAACGTTTTTATTGTTCCTTGGACTTGTCCAACCGATTTCTTTACATATGCAGGAAGTTAATAATATTTTAAATGTATTAAGTGCATAATATAATATTAATAATCAAGTTAATAGCTTTGTAGATAATAATTCTATTAAGATCTTTTTTTATTTGCACTAAGTATATACAAGGTAAGTCCCAAGTAGAGCGAGACTGTGTGGTTCAAATCATTGTTGAGTGTACATTTACAGGGTTTTCCAATACTTTTCCTTTAAAAGATCGATGTTTTCGTTCCTATTGAATGAGAAGACCAATACCATCCAAATGCGGCCATAAAAAGTCATTAATCAGCTCTCGATAACTCAACCCATTCATTATCGGAAATGAAAGGTCCAATATTTCCACACCAAACATTTACGCGTTGAGGATGGATAGGTTTTCCAACCATAAATCTTGGGATTTCCTAGCTCCAGATGAGGCAGTTTTACTTAGCGGGGATGATTTTTCAATGAAATCTTGAATTTTTATTGCTGTTATAATTTTTACTTGAATGCTAGACAATTTCAACTCAAAAAGTGACATCCACCAGGCTATTCCAAATAACGATAATTCCATGTCCATGGGGATATATCTGACTTGAAATTATAAGTTCCTAATTAGAAACCATCTGCCGTTCGGAGGCGGCTTAGAAAAAATTGATGGTCCCTCTCTACTTGCTGGAGAAACATCAAGACACGCACGCAATAAATTGGAGGAAGAGTCAATCCTTGATTCCTTAAATATTATAAAGCAAGATCACGCTACTCGTCTGGCTGTCTGTTTCTGATAAACTCAAAAATAACCTCATGGATTGGCTTGATCCCCGTTCTCCAACAGTATAGAGTGAATTTTAGAAGGCTTATGTAAATAATTTTGCAAGATTTTTGTAACCGAATTTGAAATTTATGAAAATTTTTAGAACAAAGCATTGTTGCTAAGAAAGAGACTGGCGAAATGAGAGTTTAGGTGAATTAATACGGTTGCTGATCAGAGCGACCTGCGCACTTATGGCTCACGGAAGACCTGCTTCTCAACTTCTCAAATGTACGAACGAACAGGCAATCAAAAAAGTGATATCCGGGGTAGTTATATCGGATAATATTCAGTGCCGAACATCGACAGACTCCTCCTCCTCTGCATCTCTAAAGGCTCGAAAAAATCATTCGATATATACCACATTGTCATACCGCAAAGTACAATTAAACAATGTCTTATTGATGATGAACTGGTCTAAGAGGACCAAATTCCTTGATCTTTTAGCGTTCAGCGCAGGCCAAAGTTGTCTAGTCATGTTGCAAGTTCTTTCGTTGAGTCATCTGATGTTGGCTGTTTTGGTGAACTTTAGCCTAAGCTTTGCCCTAGACAAAGGTATGTCCGCGATGTGCATGGATTGTAGTTAGAGTGGTACCTTCTCTCGCTTACTCCTCCGCCAGGCAGTTGCTTAGAATTTCCCTAAGTCCGGCTACATAAATAAAGACTCGATAGCTTGTTGAAAGTGCTTCTGCATTTTAACGCCTCTTTTGAGGTGGTGTACTTACATTGAAGAGATCTCATGGTGGCTTGGATTTTTGATTATTGGTTATCGATTGATTTATAACCAAATATCTGGATTTGCGGTAAGTTCTCTGTGGAATACGCTGCAATGAAGGGGTGGTAATGCCGAGTGAATTCCACAGCCTGCAATTTCATCGAGTTTAGAGCCAATTGTAAAGATGGCTATGTCACTCTGATTCAGAACATTTCTATCCGGGATTCTTGTGGAGAAAAGATTGTTCCAAAAGATGAAATTTTTTAAAAACCCGTAATGCGTGCTATGCTGAAAACGTTCAGTCAAAGCAAGAAAATATTAATGTCATAGGCTTAAATGTACAATTTTTCAATATTGCCGAACAAAAATCTGTTGACTCATTTTTCATAGAACAGAACTTATACAATATATACATATACATATATATGTACATACGAGTATTTTGATCAGCATTGATTTTGCTTTCTTTGACTTTCAGAATTTTATCTTTTGATTTCTGGTTTACCAACTGAATTGTATGGTCGTTAGCAATAGCAATAAGGCAATTGTATTGACAAGCGTATAATTAATGCGTTTTCTTCTTAAGGAAGCCATAATTATGCATGTAAAGTTAAAAGTGAATTTAATCTTTTTATTATTATTCATTAGCGCATTTCTTATAACTTACTAGATGGGAAGAAAATAATTATAAAAATCAAAAGGCGTTACAGTATGTGGTTTAAGTATGTAGACAACTTATTTCAATCGATTGTTTTATAGAATCTGGATTGTTTTTTCCATCTGCCTTTATGGAAAGGCAAGCATAAATATTATATACAACATGAGTAGTGGTTCCCCATGCCAGTCAAACCTGAAGCTTATAACTCTACTAAATTATACCTATTTTGTTTATAATTAAATAAATCTCCTATATCTTTATAAACCAGAAACTGGAATTAAAGAGAAACTTCTATGAGCAAAAAGTACGGTCCCTTGAACTCTGTCTTTACAGCTTAACCACTCATAACAGACGTGAGTATCAGTAGTAGATGAATGAATAATATTCATGTTTTGTATCAGACGTTGTCCTCGCCAAAGTTTTGCCTTCAGTGGGAATCTGGCATCGAACTTGGCCTGATAAAGACAAACGTAGGTGCAAAAGTCTTACAAAAGAAAAGAAAGCTATGATTCTGGGGCGAACGAGCTTTTAAATGCACCGAAGACCAAATTGAAATAAATTGAACTTTTTGCCAAACATCTAAAACCGCTTCTCTTTCCACATCACTGTAAGTGATCCTTTCATAGATGTGTTGATCCCAACCTTTCTGAAGAATTCAAATCAAATAAAATTACCAGTGGAAGCAATAACCAGAAGTAAGATATTAAACAGTACCCTAAAACCAGCTCCATTTTGTCTGAACACATCGAAACATTTTGTTTCCTGGACCACCACGTTAAAATACCTCGATGACTTTGACTGTTCTAGTCTGCTCTTGAAAGGGGTTAGCGCAGCACTATTACGACAACAATAACATTATTGCAATGAATTCAGTGAATGAATTGGTTTCCATATTTAGACCAAAAAAAACATTTAGTCTTAATAAAGACGCTTTCGGTTAGGTTCTTGATATTTTAGTGGACGAAATTTGCTCAAATATATTGTCACCGTTATCACCACCGGCGTACGCGGTAGCCGAGTGCTCAGCATTACGTTACGGAAGGTCATAGTTCAAATCAGCCCTGTATCAAAAAGTTATGGAAAATTAAACTAAATAAAAAATCAAATTGAATTTTCCAATTGTGGTCGCCCCTCGGGAGGGAAAGTCAATCCCTCTGAGTGTATTTCTAACTTGAAATAAAGACTCCTCATAAAAAACCATCAGTCGTTTGGAGGCGGCTTAGTATAAACTGTAGATCCCTCCATTTGTTGGAAAAACATTAACATGCAAAACCACAAATTGGAGGAGGAGCTCGGCCGAAAATCGCTTCAGCGGTTGCAAAGAGTGGTTATTTATATATGTAGATAGCTCCAAAATAAAGGCATTTATTCAGTCATAGCAATAACTACAACAATAGTTAATATTAATGCTTACTTAGATATGCTTCACGTCAAAATCAACCTTCACCATGAAATTTTCATTACCCTCCAAGCATAATGGTTAGGAATTTGTTTGTCTTTCTGCAACAAATACGACGTCGTATCTGTATGTATTTCCAGACGTGGTATTTAAGAGTGACCTTTGACGCAAATTTTCAAACATCGCCCCGAAAATGTAAGCAAGCAGAGATCACAGATTAATTGTTTAAAAGAGTAGAAACAACAAATCATTAACAACACATAAACGAAACTTATATATATGTATGTATATATAATCAGTATGTGTCAAAAGTAGACGAGCGTGAATACACGCACTCTATTATTTGTTGGTAGGTTTATATGTAAAATTTATTTAGTGGCAAAAGTTCAAAGACCCCTTCGAAAATTAGCAAATTCATTAACTTGACGATCGAATCGTAGCTTCTGATGCATTTGATTTAATTTTGATTTTTAAAAATTTATTTTTACCAAAATCGTCTGCAACAATATAAATTGTTCTTATTTAAAACGTAACCACTTTAGAAGTCCACTCTCAAAGGGGCAGAGTTTTGTATGGGAGGGTTTAATTGCATATGTTAATTAGGTAATCACAATTAGCTTAGAGCAACAGTTGCAATGGGCGTCTGTGGTGTCACCTCCAGTGGCTGTCGATTATTGCAATAACTGAATTAATGGCTTTGTTTGAAATCAGCAATAAAAATGTTATTAATCATAATTAAACATCAGCAACGCAAATTATTTACACATATACATACTAGTAGGTATGCAATGCAAAATAACTGCACCAACAAAGTGTAATAAGTAAATTAATAGACAAAATCATACAAAGATTATAAGCTACAATATTTTTTACTGCCTTAAAATGGAGCAGCCTACAAAAGTGTGCTTCAAAAAACACACAAGCACACACACATACGATCATTAAGCACCCAACCCATCAACCCACAACTCAACGCTTGACCATTGACGACAGCCGTGCTGCAAAACCCAATGATCACGAGCTCTCAACGCACTGTGGGAGGATTTCACAGAAATATGCATTTAAAAACTTAAATAAAAATGAAAAATATATATATAATATAAATATAAATATAAATATAAATATAAATATAAATATAAATATAAATATAAATATAAATATAAATATAAATATAAATATAAATATAAATATAAACATAAATATATATATGGAAATCTTCTCTTTCTCTTTGACTTTCCTGCAGCTCCCAGAGCAACTTCTGAAAATCAGCTCTATACTTTCTGTAGTCGTCCTCTAAGTTAATATCCCGTCGGTATATGTATTAAACAAAATAATTCATTGGAGCTTTTTCGGTTTCATTTCGGCCAAATTTGTCTGAGCTTGGGACGGTTTGAGTTTTGTTCCCAGCTGGGAAAATATTCCTTTATAAGCAGTTTTTATGTGGATAGAGGCATAACAAGGCATTCTTTGATCGAAAGAATCTGCTTGATCGTACTCTGTCTAGCAAGTTAGTCTGCCTTGCATTTCCTTTTCATGCCTCTGAGACCAAGGTATCCAAGCTAGGAATAGTCGGTCCTGCTCGGCCGTCTCTTGATGAGTCTTTTGACAGATTAGTTCGATTATAATTTTTGCCTGGCAGTCGCTTTACTATATTTGCTTACCAACCAAAAAGACGTGCACCATACTACTACACCAGGTTGGGGTATTGGCCATAAGAACGCCATTTTTAACCTATAACTCTTTTACAGGCGTGGAGACCTTCTCATATCTTACTCCACTTTCCTGCACAGTTTTCTGTGCAGTAAGTTTCCTAAAAACTCTATTTCAACTCCCAGACTTAGGCTTATAAATGTTGGAATGATTTCCTACTGAAGAGTATGAGTTCCACCTTATTAGAGTTAACACAGGGTCCACAACGGTTGAAGCACAGCATTTACCCCGCGAAGTATTTCCTGCATTAGATCACATGAGGTTTGTGGAAACTTGTCATACAGAGGCTATGACTATGTCCTATTCCTTTGTCTGTTCCAGCTAGAGGTAAGATCAGCGTGTGATACCAGATCATAAGGATTGAGGAAGCACCGCCCAATGGAATATCTAATAATATGTCTGATTGCCCGAGATCCAAAAGCGCTAGCGATCTTTAGCCTACAATGAAGTAGCTGAATAATTAAGTGGAGTTTGCGGAGTATGGAGTACCGAAGCCTGGTAAGAATTAATATTTCCATAAGCACAATGAAAATTGCTTGATGTTTTTAGCTACACTATACAACACCGTTAAAGGCCAAATCACGAATCGTTTATGCTTTTAATTAAGGAGGTGTTGCCATATCGGAAATCATACAGTTTTACTGATGTGTCTACCACCGTGGCTGACGGTAGACGCAATTACTTTGCATTATTGCAGCAGACAATTTAGTATCACTTCTTTTTTTTTGTTGTAATACAGTATACTATATATGTACAATATATAATATAAAATATATATATAAAATGTTTCTGATTTGCAAATTTGTTTCTCTTTGTTTGCCTTTGCTTGCCTGACTTATCAACTTGTTCACACTTGCTTCAAGTATTTTTTCGCGTTTTTTTTTTGCTTTAGTTTTTATCATATTCATCATAAGCTTGAGTCGTTTAGCAGCATTTTACGCTTTGCTGCTTTGAATGTTCGAGCAGCAGAGACTGAACATGATCCATTACACACTTTCATATTCCTAATTTCGAAATCATTTCATTTGGTTGTAGAATAGTTGGGATTTCCCTTACGCTATAATCGGCAATGACGGTGATTAAGAACCCTGTTTATGCGAGTACGAGTATCAGTGCTCGGTATGTATTGCCGAATTCTATCCTTTCCACTTAGACCCTTTTTTCATCAATGCAGTTATTGTGTTCTGTTACTAAGAAGATCCGACTTTTTTTAGGTATTTCACTAAAACAAAAAGTTTGGAAAGCTTTGAATATGTAATTTGTGTATGACGATTTATTATTTTCTATAAATCGATATGATCCTTCCCTATCTTTAGCAGATCCTCCACCCCGAGGCTACATGCTTCAAATCAGCTTAGAATTAGCACCAACGGCATACTAATAAATTATTAGAGCAAAAAACGGAGGCATGACGACACAGCTTTGGATACCTATGGACATGTTTCCAGAGACTTTCACCATATGAAACCGTCGTAAAACAAGACAGACTTGACAATAGTGATCTAGATCCAAAGTATTTTAGTAGAAGGCTCCAATCTCTTACCGGTTAGAGCCATAATGTAACACTACAGATGTTTGTCCTCGGGGCCAGTTTCATGATCTAAGGTTAA